AACTTATTAATAGACCTAATAAAATAATAGTTTACCACTTAAATACATAGATAAGTAATATTATCGAATATGCCTTGCAACGCATACAACAAATGAAGTAAAATTCCAAGGACTATTAGGAGATGAATCTGATCTTGACGATTGTCTTGAATTACGATTAGAGAAAGACAATGACATTGATGAAGAGGAAGAGCTTGAATTACGCGGCGAGACCATAAATTCTTCATCAGAACTACAAAACTCGGATCCATCAAACTTATCGGAGCTAATAGTAGCATTATTTTTAACAATAGTAGCTTTCGATGGAAATCCTCTTGATCTCTTGCTTTTCTTGAAATATTTCCAAAACTTAAGTCTTGATTTTATTGAAACATTACTCACATCATCAATAACAATGTTTGGCTTTGGTAGACCTAAGCTAAGCATGGCAGGCGGGGGACTAAGTGGGGGGAGAATTTCTTCTTTGGGCGGATTTTTAGGCGTCCCCGGCTGCATTTCCCATTGAAAGGGCACCCCCTCAGCACTCCGGTAGTAGAAAACACCCGACGAGCAACCAACAGAAGAATTTCTTGAAATAACTTTGTTGAAGAAGAACTCATTCCCTTGAAGAATCGAAACTCCTCTTTTCTTAGTGAACTTATAACTACGATGCTCACAATCCATAGTTTTTGCTTAAAGAATATTGGTATTGAAAATGTTTATATATATATATATATGTATTTAAGAATGGTGGTATTTCTTTTCTTTTGTAATATGAGAATATGCAATTCTTTTGCTGGAGGGTTTATGGTGAATCAAAAGTTGCATATAAATAGAGAGATTTTTGCAGTTTATTAGGGAAATGATGGAGTGGTAGGGCACATGATATTGTTGCTTTGATGATTAAAAATTTATTTTTATTTTTTGTTGACATTTATTATAGGAATTATATATACACGTCTCTCCCTTTGACTTTGAACTTCTCATGTTACTTGCTAGGCGAATGATAAGAGCTCTTTTGGTGCAGGCAAGCAATCATAAGATAAAAAAGATAGAGAGTTTGTCTTTGTTGCTAATGTTTTTGTTTTGTCTTGTTGCACATGCAAATTACCAAAACCTTAAGACATGGTTAACTTTTCTTGGTGTTTACCTCTTCATTAATAATTCTCCATTTGTAGGAAATAATCTAATTTTTGATAATAAATTCTTAATTTAAGGGATTGAACGATAACAATTCTTTTTTTTTTTTACTTGAGCAATAGAATTTGGTTAAAAAATAAGTAAGCTTTTCCGCAATTTATATGAATTGTTAGCTCTCTAGTTAAAGAATAGATTTTTTTTTTTTTTTTTTTTTTTCTCTCTAGTTAAAGAATAGATTTTTTTTTTTTTTTTTTGTTCATTAGGTTTATTTGGAGTTCTTAAATCATATAATTTTTATAACTTAAAAAATACTCCAAAGATACCGGTGATTTAAAAAAAAATATTTTTTTTTTTTTTTTTTTTTTTGTTCATTAGGTTTTATTTGGAGTTTAAATCTATAATTTTTATAAACTTTAAAAATACTCCAAAAGATACCGGTGATTTAAAAAAAAAAAAATACTCCAATGAGAAATGACAAGTGGGTAGGGTCTCTTTGGGTTCAGATTAATTTGGGTTAGTGGGTATTTTTGAATGGTTTGTCTTGGTCACCTGGGCTTGGGAATGGGAAAGCATTGGTTCATGCATTAGTTGATTCTCATAAAGGATTTTAGATTAAGTTTTAGTTTAAATACACGAATGGTTTTGCTATTTATACCAATTAATTAGCTGATAATTTATAACTGTTGATCGATAGAGGTTAGCTGATTAATGTTAATATTTGGTAAATTTTTGGTGACGATTGTTGTTAAATTTTATATGACCATTAAGAGTATAAATTGTTTTATACATTATGATCTATAATATATATTTTTTCTAAATTTCTATGGTAAAGATGTACATAGTATTAATTAAATTTTTTAAAAATCACATCTACTAGAAAGTTTTTATTTTCAAATAACTATTAACAAAATGATCATAAAAAGATACTCTCTCCATCTCATATATATAGACCTAATTTGACTTTCACATTAATTAAGAAAAACTAATTAATATGGTTGAATTACATCTTTTGTTTAAGTTTTTTCCAAAATATCCCTTGATAATATTAAATGATGGACATCAATTGGGAATGTGGATGTAAATTAAATGGGGGTATGTTAAGAAATTGGATAATAAATGATGTTTTAAAAAAGAAAATAGGACAGGACTGATGAAAAAGGAAAGTGAGCTTATATATATCGGTCGAAGGGAGTATTAAATAAAAAAAAATAACAATTATTTTTATGAGATTAATAAAATTTAAATATAATATCAATACAAATTAGCTACCAACTAATAAAAAATAATAATAAAAAAGCTCCAAAACAAAGCTAATGGAATCGGCAATTGATTAGTACTTATATTAGCTATTAACTTACCGAACACCTACAACCTAATTGTTGGATATAAATCAAATGCAGTTGTATGAATGTGTTGAACTAAGTGTCCTCTAAGTGAATCATATGATGTCAAAATCAAATTATACATCTGATTAATTTGTCAAAAAATTGAGATTTTTAAAAATTATATTTTTACTAATTTATTTTATATCAAAACAGGATTTATATTAATTTCAAGCCAAATAAGATGAATTATATTCATTTTGAGTAAGACCAATGTGTTAATTTAACCTCAATAAATCCAAATCATTTCAAATTTCATGCAAATGCATGGTTCCCTTTCTCATGCCACAGGAACAAATCACGATTTGGGAGGTACCTTTAAGATTGATTCATTGAATGTTTATCCATATGTTTAGTTGACCTTGACCCTCTCCTCTTCTTTCTTTAACCAGAAGCTCACTGAACAAGTGGAGAAATGTATATATATATATATTCTCACCACCGGCCTCAAAAAGTAAAAAACAAATCATTGGAGTGTTGGGTCGTATGTCCGCTGCTAAATCAACGGAAAACATCGGTGCAAGAGAAGTATGAGTTTAAAGAAAAGAAAGGAATATTATGTATTAAAACGTGCGTACATCAAATGTTAATTAAATGGCTTTATTTTTTAAAATAAAAAATAATTATAAGTTGTGATTGAAAATTAGATATGTTTCAAAATATTTATTTATTGAGAGTATTTATATCTAATAAATTCTATATATATTTCGGTTCAATGGAAGACTAATTATTTCCCTAGTGTTCACTTGAAATATTTCAATAAATCAATGATTTCAATTAACTGAATTTTCAAATTGGTTTACATGGATGTTTTGAAATTTCAATTCGTTATTTTACCCTAGTTAAAGTTTTGTATTCTCTTCCTTTAAATTTTTTTTTATACTTGAACGAGGTATTCAGATCCGTGTTTATTTAACGGTCCACAAACTTAACTAATTCCTATTCTCCTTCAGAGTCGAAAGAAAGTTTGCATTGCAGATGATCAAATCCATAACTTAAACCATGGTGATTAACCCCACAAGTACTCTTTGCCTTGAATTATCCTATTCGGGTTCTTATATATATAAATTTAAATTTATTTGAATTTAGGTAATTTATATTTAAAATCATTAATTTGAATAATTTACGTACCCTTGTTAAGTTTAAAATTTATTTACGCCACACGATTGAGTGATATTTATATGTAATGGTATTTGTGAATAATTTATAATTTTATTTCCGAATCGCTGAAAGTCGGAATAAAGGCGTCAAGTCAGTTCCTCTAGTCTTGAATGCTAGGGACAGTTCTTTTACTCAGAAACATGAAGGTTAAACTTTTGTTATATACATATAAAGGTGGAAAATAACCTAAAAAATTATTTTCTAAATCTTAATCAAATTTTGGAATACTAAATAAATATTTTTCAACTTTCTTAGAAAATTTTTCTAAAAAACTATTCCAGTTTTCTGCAAATAAATATACTCCAAGAGAGAAACCAACGCAAATAAATATACTCCAAGAGAGAAACCAACTCAAATCGGATCAAACTCAAAAATTTAAACAATCCTAAATTTAAGAAGAGACGTAAAATCTCTTTATCGGGAAAACCTTAAACTAAAATCGCTCGTAAGTACGATAGAGACCAGTGATCTTGACCATAGGCCTTTTTTATCGTCAAACGAGTCCGACCATGGAAATATATATTTACATCATTATTGTTTCTCTTTCTCTCTTCATTCTTAATTACCGAATGTAGGATTACTGCCCTTAAAAGTATAAGCATACATATGTTTATTATCATAATACATAAATAAATTATTAAATTAATTAAATATTTATTATTTAGATTTAAAAATATCAAAAGTCTAATTATCTATAAGTTGTAATTACATATAATAAATCTTAAAAAATAAATTTTGAAAAAATTAAAAATTTTCAAAATTAAACCATCCATTAAAAGGACCTTTTTGACTAATACCGGATAGGTACCTTAAGGTAACTCCAACTAAAACAGTGTAATACAGCCGATACCAGAATTCCTGTACTAGAAAAATACCCATATTGCTTCTATCCCTAAAAGTAAAGAGTCCCCCACATAAACATATTAGCTAAAAATGAAATTGATCCTGGAGTTTGACGATAGAATTTATAAAATTGAAGTAATGGGATTAATTTTTCTAGTCATTTACCCTAATTAATCATTTAAAAAAGAAAATTTAGATTTTTTTTTTTTTTTTTTTTTTTTGAAAATTTAGATTTTTTTTTTTTGTTTTTTTTTTGCTCCATAAAAAATTGAAGCCAAGGCTCAAGCATGAGAGCGTTGGTGAGCTTTTTTTTTTTTTTTTTTTTTTTTGCTCCATAAATTGAAGGCAAGCTCAAGCATGAGAGGTTGGCTTGACCAGAATTTTATCAAGCCTCGAGTTGGGTTAAACTCGAAAGCTCAACAATAAAGTTAAATATGAGCTGTGCTTGAGTTTCATATTATTTAAATGACTGAATATCTAAAAGCTCAAGCTCAGTAAAGATCTAATGAGTAGAGCCTGAATTTTTCAAAACTCAATTTCGCTCAGACTCATTTATATAGCTAAAATTTTTATAAACATAAACAAAATGGACAGAATTTTTCTATGAGCTAATGTCAGCATATGCCATCACATCTAACAACAGCTTAGATACTAATTACATTAACACTATGGCATGCAACTGATTTTCAATGTTAAACAAAAATAACCATACTGAATACTCTGGTTATAATAAGGTGTTGCTCTTCTTGCTTGCACCATGCATCTTGCTATATAGCCAGCTTCACCGAACTCGATACCAAAATGTGGATATTATCAAGCTTGTAATATCATACTCCCTGATGATCAAAAAGATAAGTTGATAACACGAGCAGCTCTAACGACATGAAGTTGTACTACTAGATAAATGAAAAATGACTGCTAAGACCTATTCAGGAATGCAATAAATAACCAATTCAAATGTTGGTCCGGACATAGACATACACGTGACAAGTAATTGAATAAATTAACCACAATGCCAAGGTCGGACGCTTTAGATGTGCCAGAATAGAACAAAGCAATATCCTGCTACCAACTTTTCTTTGTAGGGCTTAATTTCATATAAAACATCCCATATGGTAGTTTTCAGTTTTGCAGATTAAACAGCTGAGCAGAGCAAGATCGGATCAGGGGTAAACCCAACCTGTGAGGAAGGGTGACAACTTTCTCCCCCTCCCCCAAACCCAAAGAAGAAAAAAAAAGAGTAATTCAGTCATTTGACTTTTATGATTTTTACATCTTTAATTATAACTTAACTAGTCATAGTCACTAGTGGTTTTACTGCTAAAGCTAATACTTTACAAATCCCAAGTTGAACAGGAAGTTTCTAGTTCTAGTAATAACCTGACAAAAACAAGATCACATAAACTTTTCATTTTCTAAAAGCACATAAATGGCAAATTCAAGCATCAAAACTCAGCCAGCAAAAGTATCAATAGTCTCAATCAAAGTATTTCATACCTCAGCTGGCGATGAAATGATAGATTCCCTGCTAAAATTTAAAATTATAATTCAGTTTTCCACATAAATGCATACAACCATCTTAAATGCATGAACGAATCAGATGTGAGAATACCTTGGCCTCTCAGACTTAGCAAGATGTTTAGACATTATGGATGCCTGAAAAAAGGATCCAAAGTTATTTTTTATTTATCATGAAACCAGGAAATAAAGAATAATAAAGAAAGATGTGCGGAGGATGATAGTTTTAATTATTCTGTTGACAGCAGTAGAACTGCTTTAACACAATAAAATACAACATTTTGAACTTGAAGAAATAGGGGAAGGGTTGAGCCCAATTCCATCTGTAAGACCATTTGCAAAAACAGTTTTCCAAAACAGGAAGCAGTGAGAATACCAAGGTAGTAAATATAAGAAAGATGTGCTCATAAAATCATTGCGAATAATTGCAGAGATATTCTCCAAAAGCACATAGCAAAGGATCATTGACATGCTTGATAATATTGCTTTTGAACCTGGTAACCGATTAGTTGTATATAGCATTCAGTCACATCAAATTAGCAAAACAGATAATGAAATAATTCTTCTAATCTAGACAGGAAACATGATTTAAGGATTCAAATCAAATGTCTAATTTGTAAAATGGAAAGGTTTAGTACCTGCTCCTGGATTATGCTCCTTGCCTCAACAAGTTGAGCTTCTAGTTCAAGCTCTCTCTCAGTTGCTTCAGATGTGACTTCTGCTCCTTTCTGTGCATCTTGTAGTTGAACCATGCGCTCCTTGAAATTTAAAAGCATAAACAAAATCAATTACTTGCTCTCCCCAGGATCCTTTCCTTACAAGGACATGATGACAATGGAAAGAGCAAAAGTACCTTTATGGAAGCCATCTTAGTTCGGAGACTTTCCTCAATTTGATCTCTGGCCATGTGAAAAGGCAGGTCAAAGACATCCTGTAAATTGTGAAGTATTTCAGCAGTCATGGATGACACTTGACCCATTGAGAATACTTAAAAATATAGTAGTTGTCAATACCGTCTTTCCTCCCAAGGGAGACTGTGAAGGGTCAGTTTCATTTCTTCCATTGACAGGCGAAGATTGTTTTGCTGAACCATTTGGAGCATTAAAGAAATCACGCATATCAACCTGTAAACAAGATTTTGCAAACTGAGACCAGAATGTAGTGCCCCAAGAGCAAAGAAAAAACTCAACATAAAATCTTAATGATTAAAAACATGATGACGCCACTAGAAAATAAGAAAAGGATATGATTTGGTACCTAAAGATCTCACTGAAAAAATATACATAAACAGCAGAATAAGCATTGTATGTGATGAAAGGATAAACTTTTGCAGTAGACCATAGTTAGTAAAGGCACGCCTTACGCCTCAACAGTCCTCAGGCGGGCGACTTCACTCAGGCTATTGCCTCTGGATAGAGGCGTGCGCCTTTTTGCCCCTCTTTTGCAGCCAAGCCTCAAGAAAGGCACGCCTTTATATTTTTTGTTTTCCAGAACAAGTCACGTAGGGTTTTCTTTCAATATAAAGCTATCTAGCCACCATTTGCTTACACAAAATAATAAATGAATAAAATAAAATTAAATACAACACAAAAACCAGTGATGTGCTTTGTGATCCAACCTCCACTCCTTCATCTAGCACTCACCTCTTGGAATCTAGTCTTTAGCCCATATCCATTCGGATATGCCTCTTTCAATTTCTCTTCCTATATTTGCTTTCTATTTTTTTTCTTTTTTTCTTTTTTTGATTCTATTCTTTTCTGTCTCAAATCTAATATCTTAAAATAGACTTGTCATATTGCCATTTTTTTCTGATTTATGTGTGTTCCTTTCGATGTTTTTCTAGTTTTTTTCTCTCTCTCTCTCTCTTTTTTTTTTTTTTTTTTTTTTCCGGTTCGATGTTTTTCTAGTTTTTTTCTCTCTCTCTCTCTCTTTTTTTTTTTTTTTTGATTGAAGTAAATCTAAATGCTAGTAATTTTCAGATTTATGCATTTTATTTTATGTTATTCTATTTTTGCACTCACTTCAGCTCAGCCAGCGCGCGGCTTCTTTTTTTTTTTTTTTTTTTTTTGATAAATTAAATTATAATTTTCAGATTTATGCATTTTATTTTATGTTATTCTAATTTTTTGCACCTCACTTCACTCAGGCACGCGCCTTCGCCTGGAGGCTAGTGCCTAGGCTCCAGCAGCCCTTTGCACCTTAGTAAGCCTTGCGCCTTTAATCATTATGCAGTAGAAGACCATAAGTCTTCAGGATTTATCAAGCATCAACATGTCGAAAATGGTGTTTTCCCTTTCTATTGTTGCATAATTATTTTTTTAATTTTTTATTTTTTTAACAAGTTGTTACATGGTGCTTTACCTCATCCAAAGGAATAAGCGTTTATGCACTGTGAATAGCACAGGGAATACCATTTTGATATGACAAATGATATTTCAAGTAGCATAAGGGTGATGCAGATTACCAAACAACATATTCATTGCTGAATTGGCGTATGATAGAATAATGAAAAATCATCAAAATCCAAAACTATATCAGCATGCAGGTAACATAGAAAATCAAAAATCTGAATATTCACATGCATACAACAAATAGCATGTTATAAATCAATAGAACAAGACATGTCATAAATCTTTTACATTTTTTTGGCTCTTTTATCATTTTTCCCCTCCTTCCAAGAAGAATACCATTTTCTGTATTCCAATTTGCTAATTAAGGAACAAGGAGAAGAAAAACATAGACATTCAAGGTTAATTTGCTTGGCAGTGTACATTTCATCCTTTGCATCTTTTATACTATATGTTCTAGAAATTGGCACCTCTACCTAGCAGGAAATTACAATACTTAAATCAAAGATCAATCATCAATTTTTCGTGCGGATAGATTAAAAAACAGAAATTTGTGTTCCTGACATTCAGATATGAATTCATATAGTCACAACACCCAACAGTAATAAAATTCACTTGGACCACATTCCAAGAACATCAAAGGACAACCAATGCACATATGACCTCTGAACTAGGGAGATATACTGACATAGACTATGCAACCTTCCCTCCTCATACATTAGGCTGTTTCAATGTATCACCTATGATACCCATATCACAATGGAGCAACCTTAACATAGTGCCAAAACACAGACTTCCTATGAAAGGAGCACTGTGAACAATTGGACATCAACAAATACCTATAAAGTTTTTACACAACACAATCCTATTGCTCTAACTAGCACAAAGTATACACCAATTCAAGAGCCACAAAAAAGGGTAAGAACAACAATAATAACTGAAAGATAAAAAGAAACCTGCATTGACCGCAACAAAGCCCTTAAATCAGCATTCTCTTGCATCAGTTCTTGATTCTTAGCCTCATAAGCATCCACCTGCCAACAGCATATCACAGTCATAACTCACCAGTGGTTATGAATTCCCAAGTTAATCAACATACATACTATTTTCTTATAGAAATCGTTATCTGTCTTCTTCCCATTCCATGTCCCTCGCTGCCTGCCTTCTTTCTGCAATCATAAAAAGCCATTACAGGGGCAGGATTATATACACCAGAACCAGAAGATTGACATGTGCAAGTCCGATTAGTACCTGAAGCAAATTCATTATCTCCATGCCTGATCTTGATTCCTTCTTTTTCTCCATCAATACTTGATTCAGCCTCTCCTGCAAATCAAGTTAAAGTACAGAATTCCAATTTGAATATCTTGTTCACTCCCCATATTACTCCCAACATGAAATCCTAAGCATGAACAAAGAAAGCCAATTCATTCTCTGCATACAAATAACAGCAAGTAAATACAACCTACCTGCAGCTTTATGTACTCCTTTTCTTTTTTCTTCATTTCATGTACTTGTTGAGTTCTAACTTGCTTTAGTCACATCAACGTATCAATGAACATTTATTAGGAACTATACATTCTGCCCACCAGCGACCACTCGCAAAAATACACCAAAAAAATGCTAACAATAAGTCAAAATATTCTCTAACCTGATTACCAATGACCATCCTTTGGAATTCATCTCGTTCCTGCTGCAGCTTTTCAATTTGTGCCTTAAAAGCTGCTGTAGCTTTAGCTTCCTACTTGTAAATTAATTCCACAAGCATCAACAAACTGTTCAAGTTTATACCTAAATTAAACGTCACTTCCTAGAACTATAATTCTCTAACCGTTCGTGTAATTGTTGCTATTTCCCTATCTTTGCCTTGTAACTGTGTCTCAAGCCTCTCCACTTTTGCTTCCAACCGTGATATATCCGACAGTAATCTGGAAGTTGGAAGTAATGCTTATGAAAATAATCAATCATTGAATGTAGCCAACAGACAAGAGTCAACACAAAGCCGTAGCATTATATTCAATAAAGAAGCACATTACAATAAATAATCGCCCACAAAACATCACAAAACAAAATAAAAAATAAGCCCACACACCGAAATCAATTATAACCTGTTCAAGCTGAATTTTCATCAAAACTTTGGTTGGATCATCAATTAGAAACTAAATCAACTACATCGTAATTTAAAAATAACAAGAAGGTGATTCCCAAAAACAGATGCATCCAAAACAAATAAATTATCTAACAAATGATGTATACACAATTAAATAAAAAATTATGTTTAGCAACAAAGCTTACCTCTGCCTCTGCTCATTAGCAGAGCCTCTAAATTCAATGTCACGCTGTCTCTGTTGAAGCAAAGAGTATATGCAATTGCAGGTCCTGGCAATGGAAACCTAACCAAGTAGACCCAACAGTTTCAAATATTAGAAAACAGTAAAAAAATTTTTAAAAAATAAAAAATAAAGAGAGCAAGATCGAGAAGGACGCACCGGATCATTGGCAAAGAGGTCAAGAGAGGCAGGGAAACCAAAGGTAACAAGAGTTTGATTCAAGTACTTAGCACAGTGTTCCAGGTTGCTTGCATCAGCAAATGTATAATCTCTGCACCATAAAATCAAAACCCTAACTCCCAAATTAAACACAGAAAACATAACAAACATCAAAAGTATAATTTGTACATTTCGAATCAGAAATCAACATAACCACAGAGATCAAATTCACAGATACAATGTATGTGTAGAAAAACCATAAAAATGAAACAGCACTAACCCGATTAAGAAGGCAGAAGCAGTGGAAGTCTGTAGAAGAGAAAATATAAGAGTAAGCAATATAGAGTTAACAGAAAAAGAAAATGTAAAGAGACAGAGAGAAGAAGAAGAAGAAGATCGTACATTGAGATCTAAGTCTGTATCAGTAGCCGGCATTGTGGAGAGAGGGAAAGCGAGAGAGGTTAGTTATGGATTAGTTATCTTACGACAGAGAGTTCTTGCTCTGTTGTTCTGTGTTTGTCCCTGCGAGGGATTTTGAAAACTGAAATTGGTTTTGGCACGAAGATCTAAAATAGTAAAATGAACTTTTATTTGAAGTTGAAGTTTGATGGTTTGGTTAAATCCTAACGAGTTTCTTCTAATGTGATTGTCAGTGGGCTTTTTCTAACTCTAGGTGTCTGATCTTTTAAGTGAGGTGTCACTGTTTGATTGGACATCTGTCTCTTATTTTGAATTTCATTTTTGCTGGCTAATCATATAAAAATACCTCAACTTTTCTGTGTTGCTGCAAAATCATCCTAAATGGACCTCCACCATGGACTAGGGCTCTGCAAAACCCATATCGATCGGAAAACTCGAACGGTCTGAACCGATCTGACTGAAAATATAAAATTATAATGAATTTTTCAGATCGGATCAGTCAATTTGAGGGGTGTATATCCCTTATTTGATTTGGGTAGATCGGTTAAATACATTGTTTAATCTAACTCGGCCTGAAAAATGAAAAAATTAATGCTTTTTAATTTCCTCTTATGACTTACTCTTCTTTCTTTCTTCTTTTACTTGTAAAATTAAAAATTCCAAATCAAAATCAATTTTTTCTTGAGCAACAAAATTTAAGATTTACTAGTTTAAATTTTCATGTTTTCTATTTCTATCGTGTATGTTAAATACTTAATTAAAATTTTTGATTTGTTATGGTTTGGTTTTGATTTGAAGATGAAAAATTACGATTTGATTGGGCTATGATTTTTTTCATTATGAATGTTTAATGTTGATTATGGTTTGATTATTTTTTTATTATGGTTGTTTGAGCAATAATTATTTTTCTAGACTTTTTTTTTTTTGTTATGATTTGATTATGGATCCAAATAAAAATTTTGATTATGCAAGAGTCATATAAAAAAATATTTAACCCATAAAAAAATATTTAATTGAAATTCCGATTAAATGGGCGACAAATAACCCGACCCGATTTTAATAGGGTTATTCGGATGAAGCCAAACTTTTAAAAGGCTGAGTCGATGAAACCATTCCCCTTATTTTGTGTGCCGGGTATATCGGGTGGAACCCAAGCCGATGGTTACTCACCCCTATTATGGACAACCCATTATGAAACTACTTAAATATATTAACATCTCATTTGGAGATTAGTGGGAAGATTTGGTTTCCAATATAAGTTAGATAATTATCATTTTTTATTAGATATATTTTCCATATATTGAAATGGCAATTTATTACAACAATAAATAAAATATAATTAATTCAATTTCTTCTCTCTTTTGGTTTTTGAAAATTCAATTTTTTTTTAAATTTATTCGGTAAGTTTTATTCAATTCGATTTAACAATTGGTTTAAAATTGACCAAACCAATCGAATGTTCACCCCTACAAACAACATAACCTTGGTTAACTTAACCTAAGGCTTAAAACTCTCGTTTTGATAATCTTAAGTTATTATACCACTTCCTCTCTCACAACTTCATTTGCCTCACCATTCCCATCATATTCCAATTGCCATGTTGCTAACTTCTACTTTCTCCCTCAGCCCTCCTTCAGTCACATGCTCCCCTCTGTCTCTCCGTTAAACTTTGCCATTTATGTGTTAGCATATGACATAAAGGTAAAGTAACTTTTGGTGTATTTAGGGATTTACTTTGCAGACTACTATAGATATGGATTTTGGAGTTGAAATGAGCGAAGATTCGGTGAATTCCACACCCAATGGTTCTTTGGTATAGGAAGGGGACCCTAAAGATTTTGAATTTTTGAGGTGGATGGATAACAAGCTCTCACACCTAAGAATATGAAGATTGTGAATCTGATGTTTAGGGTCACAATTTACGTTTAAGAGTTGATGAATCCTTTCACACGTATCATATATATGATCATAAGATATGCAAATTCCTTTTTAATTGCTTTTGCCACTTGTAAATTCATTTAATCATCATTACGCAATAATTTGATAGCATAAATAACTGGAATTCACAAAAGGAAATCATTTACCTTTTTATAGTTACAGTAAATTCCATTAATCATTTTGTGCTGTTGTTTGAAGAAAAAGGATAATGGTGTGGTAGTAGTGTATTGAAAGGGAAGGTTGTTAGTGGTGGGGGTGAGAAGCCCAAGGAGGAGTTTGGGAGTGGAGTGCATGGTTTGGGGTTGAGGGAGAAGACATGGTTTGGCGTTGCGGTTGGGTTAGTTTAACCCTTGTATCAGTAAGTATTGTTTATTCATTTTCTAGAACATAAACTTTAAATTAAGGTTCAATTGTTATAAAAGTTTTAAATTGGGGTATCATGGAGATTAAAGTCAGAATATGGTATAATTGTTACAACTTGCAAAGATCATGGTATTTTAAACGCATTGCTCATTAATTATTCTATTTCAACTTTATTATTATCTAGATATCTCTACTAAACTTTATTTTTCTTAATTATAGTATTTAAAAAGGGATAATTAGCCAATTACATTTATTTTTCTAAAAGAATTGAGGTGATTCAATCATTTTGTTAATTCTTATGTAAAGTAAAAAAATTTAAAATTTAATGAAATATATAAAATATACTCACTCCGTCCAAAAAGATAATTCATATTTCTTTTTTAATTTGTTCTAAAATATAGTTCACTTTCGTTTTTTGTATTATAGTTAATCTTTAAATTCTCTATTTACAATAAAAAAATTTATGAGAGTAGTTGTTGGCTCACAAAGAGCCAGGATCATGCCACTTAAATTGTCCATTTTGTCCCGATTATTTTTATTAAATTGTTCATTTTATCCTCGTTCAAAATAAAAATTGGTATGCTTAGAGGAGGGAATAGAGAATGAAAATTTGTAATTGAAAAATGTTATTCTCTCTCGTTCTTTAATGAAAATTCGAAATCGGTGAGATTTTCAACACACATGCAGGACGTTTGCTTTTCAACTTTTCCTTCAACCAATTATATAAACTTTATTTTTTTTTTCGCTTTAATAGTACATTCAAAGTTCAAGAGGAAAAGAAACAAAAACAAATTGATTTCATAGAGTACACGTTCAGAATATGTAAATTGCAAAATTTTAAAATTTTAACATCTTTCAAAATTAGTCTTGAATGTTAATCTTAGAAACAAAATCAGTCTTGAATATGTAAAAAATGTTAATCTTGTATAAAAACTAATGGCTCATATGTTCATTATAAATTAATATTATCTTCGTTCCATTTTGTTTGCATAGTTCAACAAAATATACATATGAAGAATTTAATCCATAAAAATTATTTTGTCCTTTTTTACTCTAACTCTTTAGTATGTTAATAAAAGTCCTTGATTTAATAAACAATTATAAAGTTATTATGAAAAAAATAATCATTTATACATACAAATTTAGAAACATAGGAAAATAATTATTTCGTCACTGACATTTGACCAAATTAACTAACTCATTCCTCCAGTTTGACAATATTAATTACTGGTCCCCGATGTTTACCTATGTAAGACTATTTAGTCATTCCGTCCAATTTTGGGGCTTTTTGCCTACCCCGGTAAATAAGCATGGCCACCGGAACCGAACCGTACTGTAAATTAACCAGAATTGGACCGAAACCGTCGGTTCAAAATATTGAACCAGAACCGGCGGTTCAAGGGTCGGTTAAGATTCATGTGAATGTTAGAATCTGAACCTGAACTGGCCCTGAACCAGCAGTTCCAGTCTGGTTCGAACCGAAAATTTTCTATTTTTAATTTCAAAATGATAATCACTTAATCTATTTTATACATCTCTAAAAGTCTCAATTAATTTCAAAATGATAATCACTTTAATCTATTTTATACTCTTAAAAGTCTCATATATTTTTAACTACATGATATTACTTTTAACCCACTAAGATTTTTTGTTGTTAAAAAAATTACTACTTTACTTTAAAAGTTAAAAATCTAAAAAAGTAAAAGGTAAAAAAAGAGATAAAATATTATAATCTAAACTTATATTGTTTTTAACTTTTTTTTTTTTAACCTTTTTAAAGTGTGTTTAGATAAGTTTAAAAAATTACATTCTTGGTAAAAAAAGAGAAAAATATTTAATCTAAACTTATATTGTTTTTAACTTTTTTTTTTTACCCTTTTAAATTGTTTACTAAGTTAAAAATTACATTCTTTTGAAGTATTTTTCAAATTTTTCTTATAATGTATTTAATTAATAACATTTAAACAAAATAAAGTGATAACTTATTTGATTATTTTGTAAATTTAATTAATTTTATTCTTATAATAAGCATTCTAAAATTTATTTAAAATAAAATTTACTAATATTTTTTAAACTCATATTAATATTTTCAAAAGAAAAATGTAACTTTAGAACTGATTTAAAAAAAAAAAAACATATATCGCTGTAAACCTGATTAGAACCATCGATTCATCGAAACCGCACCAGAACCGAAATCAACGGTTCAAGGGTTAGTTCAGATTCAACATTTTAAAAATTTTGAACTATCGATTTCATAAACCGAAACCGGCGGTTCAATTAACCGGCCATGCCTACCGGTAAAAGTAAGAGAGAGGTTAAACGTATTTTCTGAAATAACAAATTTACACTTAAAATCCCTACAAAACTAAAAGACAAAACTCCGTCTCCATCTCCATTACTAAAACCATTTCAGCCATAAATAAACCACAGACCATGAATACTATTGGGTCTTTTCGTTTTTGCTTATTGTTTGGTCTGATAGTATTGAAGTATATGATGACTTTTGGAGAGAAATAGAGAAAACAAATATTCTACACTATCAATCTGATGAAGGAGAGAGGAGGAGAAAGCCTACCTGATACAAGCAATGCCGACAACAACACCAACAGTAAAAAAAAAGCACCATTTTTGGATTTTTGGCCTTTTCAATCTTTTTCGTTTTTTTTTTTTTGCTTTGGTGGGTGGTTAGGTTTTGTACACGGCACTTTATATGCACAATAAAGAACATAATGGGTTATTTTCTTTCATTTGGGTTCTAAGAGAAAACCAAATCTAAAGAGGATTTATCAAAGATTGAACCGAAATTTAATAACAGAACTGAACATTTTACTGCAACAAAACGAAAAAGAAGAAGATGATATAGAAACTAAGACGATAGAGAAACATTAATTTAGATCCAGAATTTGAGGAAATATTA